GAGGATTTTGGCCGTAGGGTGCACGAGTTCGGTTAGGTTTGCGGGCTTTGGAGTTTGGGATTCAGGAGTGTATGATTCCCGACGCACAAGCTCATGCCTCATGAGTAAGACTTGTTGATGGTCGATTGCTTGGCGCTAGATGTTGGAATGACAATCGTCGTGGTCGCCATGATGGTTGTCGCCACCGCTGTAGTAGTAGTAGTAGTAGTAGTAGTAGTAGTAGTCGTCGTAGTAGTAGTCGTCGTCGTCATAGTAGTAGCAGTAGTAGTAGTAGTAGTAGTAGTAGTAGTAGTAGTAGCGGTTGTTGTCGTGGTAGCAGCAGCAGCAGAAGGAGTAATAGTAGTAGTGGTAGTAGTAGTAGTAGTAGTAGTAGTAGTAGTGGTCGTCGTCGTCGTCGTCGTCTTCGTCGTTGTTGTAGTCGTAGTCGTGGTCGTGGTGGTGGTGGTGATGGTGGTGGTGGTGGTGGTGGTGGTGGTCGGGGTGGCGGTGGTGGTGGTGCTGGTGCTGGTGCTGGTGGTGGTGGTGGTGGTGGTGGTGGTGGGAGTAGTAGTAGCAGCAGCAGCAGCTAGCAGAAGTCAGGTAGCAAGTAGTCCTTTCTGTTATATTACTTTAATATTAGTACTATTGCAGGAAGAGGGTTTTTCTTACTATAAGTACTAGGAGTAGGGGTGGGAGTAGGAGTAGGAGCAGAAGTAGGAGTAGGACTAGAATTAGAAGGAGCAGTAGGAGTTGTGGCAGCAGCAGTAAGAGTAGCAACAGTAGCCGCAGTAGTAGCAGTAGAAGAACAAGTAGAAGTAGTCGTAGTAGTAGTAGTAGTAGTAGTAGTAGTAGGAGCGGTTGTAGTAGCAGCAGCAGTAGCAGCAGCAGTAGCAGTTGCAGTAGCAAGAGCACGAGAAGTGGTGGTGGTAGTAGTAACAACAGTAATAATAGCAATCAGTCTAATCATAGTAACCATTATAATCAGAGTAATCATAGTAGTAATACTAGTAATAACAGTAATAATAGTAATAATCGATATAATAGAAACGTAACACTACTCACGGTATTAACAATAGAGAAAGTAATAGCAACAGAAATAGCAATATAGTAATATTAGTAGTAAGGGTACTAGTACTAGCACCAGTACCACCATTAGTAATCGTACCAGTACTAGTACTAGTACTAGTAACTGTAAAAGTAACAGTAACAGTAATGGTATTGTAACAGTAATAGTAATGATAAAAGCAACAGTCATAGTAATCGTACTTGTAAATAGTAATAGCAATGGTAACAGTAATCGTAATTGTAAATAGTAATAGCAATGGTACCAGTAATCGTAATTGTAAATAGTAATAGCAATAGTTGCTAGTACGGCAAGTAGTCTAAACAGGTAACTTTGGCAAAAAGAAAAGTAACTTTAGCGGCACCACCGCGGAACTTTCGTGCAGGCATATTTAGCTGTGCAGCTGGCCGCTCATATAGATTATGGCACAAGGAGATTTAGATCAACTATCATATAAATGAATAAATACACAAATCAAACATATATATATATATATACATATATATATATATACATTATATATACATATATACAGTATCATATCGACCGGGAGTTCGAGTTTTTCAGGTTTGAGGGGACGCTGGTCGAGACGTTTGTGGTCTTGGTCTACGATGATTGTATACCTGTCTTCTCACCAAGCCCGAATTCCCTTCCATCCCGGCCGAAGCAGTCAGAGGTCCCTCGGTCCCCTCTAAAAACCTTTTCCCCTCCTCTATATCCCCCACCTGAAGAAAACCGCTTACCCACATCCTACCCTGAGACCTCAACCCTGTACCGTACCTCTAACCCTGAAATCCGTCTAAGCCCGCAGCAAGGCAATCTATGGGCCGGAACACTGTGGCGCCACACGCCATGTAGCCGCAGCTGCTCGCTTCCAACAGACTGGAGAAACCTCCAAGGTTTGAGGTTTTTAGGGTTTGGGTACCGTATTTCAGGCATTATCAACCTCAGCGTTTGGAGTTTAGGGTTTGGGTACCTGAAGTGGGTACGAGCTCCCATAACTTTTAGAGTTTAGGGTTCAGGGTTTCAGCACAATAAATCTAAACTGCCCGAGTACTCAGGGCCTGAGATGTTGAAGCCTTCGCCTTCAGGCGTTTAGGCACGTTACCGCCCCGCCTTTGACGCTTCGTTGGAGCAGTAAGCCTCAAACATTCCTATCTAATCACATTATCACGAAACCTATCGAAACCTGCTAAGCACTCTTTAGGGTTCACGGTTCGCCGTAGAGACTTCAACTAAGGTCTAGTCAACCTTTTTGAGAGAGCCTAGAGATTAGAGATATATCTAACAAGCTGCGAAAGGTTCGCGCTTAAGGCATGCACTCGCAACATTGGCATCCATCCCCACCTACAGCGAACGACGGAAAACAGCCGACTATCTTCATGCTCGAACTTCTCAGAAGTAGCCGAGACCTACAGATCACAAGACGGGAAAGAGTGTGTCAACAATCGAAGCAGCAGCAGCAGCTTCGGCCCCGAATGGCTTGGAACATCTTGGAACCAGCAACAACCGCAGTAGAAACATAGCTCCCTCCGATAATAATACACGCTGACCCCCCTCCGTAAACCCCTCAACACGTGGCACTCGCAATCCGAAAACCATACCAGGGTGCTGATCGAAGTCTCGGGCATTCACGGCATTGGTCCCGCATTTAGAATTGACCTCCCCAGGAGCACTCAACGCTTCGAGCGATTCACGCAATAGGGTTGGGGCATATCATGTTACAGCTACTACAATATGGTAGGGTTTGAGGCGTGTCCGTGTGCAGGATGATGCAGGATGTTACACACACTAGACGAGTCAAGCAGTTCATGAAGGGTCCACGTCAGATGTTCATCCCTACTCTGTTCCCTAAACTTGCTTTTCAAGCCGCTATAGAACCCAACAGCCCTTCCGAAAGAGCCTCCCAATGTGTTTGCCCAAGCCCCTCAACTTACCTGTACTAAAACCCACATCTGAAATTTGCATGAGAGTTCCAAGCTTCAGAACATGCTCCGAACCCTAAAACCCTGAACCCCGAAACACTGAACCTCGCCACCTGAAAGCGCAACCTCGCACCATTCTTAATTGTATGACAAGGTCTTCAGACTGGTCTTCAGGCTGAGGGCGATAGCTCTTCCTTGACCCCTGAAGGTTTAGGGTTTACCTTCAGGATCGAAGTACTTTGGATCAGGTGCTGATACACTTACAATCACTTAATTACACAGATTCGCGCTGAAGCCTGAACCATAAATCTGACGAACCTAATAATTGGGTTCGAGCAACGATCCAAACATGGGTCCTGGAAGAGGGGTACGTACTGTACTGTTCGTCAGGGCTCTGCAGCATTACCCGCTGAGACTCCTGATTTAATGACTGCCGGGAGGAAGGACTTCTCTTGGGGTGCGTCATCTGGTGTGTCGCAAGCCCTGTAAACCCAACTGTAGACTCGGAAACTTCAACCACAAACTTTAGACCAACCTTTCTAAACCTGAGTTGCTGCTTAATTAATCCTTTATCGTATCTCTTGTTGCAGTGTGCCACTCTGGGGCCCGCTACCGAGACAGCAAAAGGACTCCCCAAAAGGTTCCCCCAGAAGGGGGCTAAGGGATGGCAACAGGGATCTGGGATTCACGGTTCAAGCTTAGAGGCAAAAGGGTCCAGGAGGGGGCTTCGGCCCAGCCTTCACTCAACGCACAAAGGGACAAAGGGCACCCTGAATCCGACGTCTTCAACTCCGAAGCCGCACCTTGCGCAGCACGGCATCAAGAGTAGACCACTGTGCCGACGTGGAGCAGGAGGCAAGCGCTTGCCCCAGCGGAGTATCCATTGGATTTCGGGCTTGGGCTCTTGGACCTGGAATTTCTGACTGCAGTTATGAAGATGCTGGAGCCGAAATCCACTTGACCTAGGACTGGTCTCAACTTGACTCTATGTACCACCTCTTGCGAAAAATGCAGCCAAAGCCCCGCTTGAAAAGTGCTGGTGCATTGTCCCATCAGCCCTTTGCGCCAAGCAGGGTGCTGAGAGCCGCCGTAGGCCGAGATCATGCAGAGTCTTCCAGGATTCAAAGAGGAACAGGCCAGGTCTCGGCCCCGGGGTGTTTGGGCGAAAATGACATCTTCTGGGTTCTTGTTAAGGGATTTAATTTAAGTTACCATAATAAGGAAACCATATTATTTACTATAGATCCCTATTATGGTAACTTAAATTAAACCCCTTAACAAGAACCCAGTCTTACAAGGCTTTTCCAGAGCTTGGAGGGTTGAAGCTTTATTTACGGTTCTGGAGAGTCCGGCTGGGCTGGGGACGGCAACTCACGACTCAGGAGTGCCTTGACAAATCCCTATCCCGCATGGCAACGCCACGGTCCATGCCCGGACAGTATCAGATCGAAATCTTGTAGAACCCCACACACAGCCTTTGTGCAGCCGTCCCGCAGGTGTATGCAAGCTTTAAGCACCGACAAACAACTGAAGCAAAAGGCTGACGGCTCTCTGCACCAACCGACCTGAAACTCCGAACCGAAACCAAACAACTTAAACCCTAAACTCCTAAATTCCAAGCTCCTGGTCCCTGAAGCCCAGCGCTACTTCAAAAGGAGACCGAACTGTGGGCTGCAAAGGGTTCGGGTGTTTCGCGTTTCTAATGTCCCAACCCTGATAACGGGCTTCTCAAACTTGTACGGATACCTTGTTTTGTTTCGGGTTTCCTATAATGATGGGATCTACCGTGTTTTTGAGAGTCTCGATAGAGGAATATTATGGCTGTCTATGGAAAATCGGGGGACCTTATTTCGGGGTCCTTGCAATCACGCATCTTTCGTTTTGTGAACGGTCAAGAGTGGGGTCCCTTCTTTTCGGTTTCGCCGGGAGCCGAAGGCCGCCCTCTGCCAACATCAGGGCCTCAAGGCCTTAGAATTGGAATGGGAACCTGTTTTGAACACCTTGAGACTTCGAACAAAAACGGATTTGCGTGCCTCCTGCGTAAAAGTTGCCGGTCGCTACGTGGTGGAAGGCCTGGCCAGAGCTTGGCGTCAAGGTTCGATTGCTTTTGGACCTTCGCTTTCAGCTTGAACTTGCTCTCAAATCCCCGACTGGGAAGGCTGGAGCCCGGTGAGAGTACATCTTGCCGCTGGCAAAACGTCACATAGCAGCAACTGCGGAGGCCAAAGAAAAGGATTGGCTCAGCGAAGAATAGTGTAGGATTGTCCTGCAAAGTAAGTGTGGTCATGAGAATATATGCGCCTGTGTAGGAGTCTCCTCTACTTATGAGCTCTGGCAGATCTGGACCCTGAACCCTCAGCATGTCCCGTCTTGAACTCTGAGGAAACCTCCACAAGCAGCCTAAGCCTAGTCTAGCACCCAAACTCTAAACTCCTGGAGCTCTAAACACCGAGTGCTGCACTCAAGATGGTGATGCGAACGCGAAAACCTTAACCTCGAAAATTCAGTCTCCCCAACTTGGTCCCCACTAGCCCGGGCTTGAGGGCCTGGTGCCCCCGATGCCCGAGCACCGAAACACGCGAAGATTCCCGGGGGTGGGCAAACTTTCTGCAGAACATGGCCATGGGCCATGAGAGCTTTTCAGAAGCCAGCATGATAAGGGATACTACAGTTTGCAGGCGTTTGAGGTCAAATTAGCTGCCATATTGGCGTCAAGTTGGAAGATTTGGGAGCTTGTATACTGGCCTTCAGAGGTATCGCGCAGGGCTTGAAAAGTGCGACTGACCCCCAAAGCCTAAAGCCCGAAGCCTAAGTTTTCTGCTCAAGACCTGGAGTGAAGCTAAAAAGCCAAGAAGCGCAACCCGATAGGGGGCCTTGCGGTCTGAATTCGGGGCGGGATCTAATAGGGTTTGGCATCGTAGAGTCTTCAGGGTTTAGGGTATAGGGTTTTCGGGCAGTAGTGTTTGCCGGGTGGGCACTTGGCAGAATCTGAAACCATCTGCACCTCCAGCATTGCTTGGGTTCATTCCCGACTTGGAATATTAGGGGTACGGAGAAAATCGACTAAAAGAATGGTAAAAGACTCTAAACCTGCAAACAGCGACGACCTAAATCTTAAATACCTAGAAACCGGAAAGATGCTGCCGAAAGGCAGGTCCTTAGCATAAAGGTCCATCTCCCGACAATCCTGCGAGGGCGCCTCAGCTAAGACCTTCTCCGGGACCATCGAAGCGCAGCTCTCCTGCGGCTTTGACTTGCTTCGAAGGTTTTTGTCGCATTTCAGGACTTTGGGCTCGAGGTTTAAGGGCTTTAGCGATTTTTTGGGTGTAAGGCTGAGGAGCTTTGGGCTTTAGGGGTGCTGGATCTTATCTGGGTTTTAAGATTTGCGAGCTTTGAGGTTCTTATCAGGATTTTGCTTCCGTGCTTTTCGCACGATTTTGAAACTAAGTGGCCTTGTCCCAGCACTATAGACCCGCCCTAAACCCTAGGATTGAGCAGATTCTGAATCTGAGATTCATACTATAAAGACCTCTAAACTCTAAAGCGGAACTCCTGCATTGTTTGAGAGATCCAAGCTTGGCTACATTTGCTGTGCAGGCCTCAGGTCTTTAGAAAGGCTTGACTTGGGAGCATTCAGGCTTACGCTCTGGGGCATCAGAGGTGGCGATGAAAACCCTGAACTATGAACTCAGGGCCCAGGCCACCAACTGGGAACAGCAACCTCAAAGACCCCTGGTGAAGGTGCAGCCGCGTGCCGTCAAACAAAGAGACACCGTTTTCTGCGTGCGACTCGATTATGTAGGTATTTTGTCGATGTTTGGCTGGTAACCAATGGAAATTACCAAAGATTTATTTCGTGATCGAAGAATGATTGACCCCTCCTTGATTCATTTCGATCAAAGAAGAATGATCTGGGACAGAAAATTATGATCTGTAGCTCGCAGAACGGTGATCTGCAGCGGGCCCCGCAGAATATGCAGTGATTTGCAGCAGGAGAAATAGTGATCAGTAAAAATTAAGTACCCTTTCAACCATTATCAAGCTCAAGGAACACGAACCCACGTCACCCAAAACCTGAATCACAAAGCCTAATGCCAACTAACCCTGGACTTTCTTTGCTGGCGCTTTTTCTTAGCTCGAGTTGCTTGCTGCTTACTCTTGTTGCATATTCTTCGTTGCGGAGGCCGGCAAGGGAACCTTGCCAAAGCCGACACTCCAACTGAACCCTTTGGACGCCCAAACCCTCCTTCTGAAACTAACCCCTAACCAACCCGAATCTCTGGCTCTGGTCTCCAGCATCGTCGCAGAAGTCTTTCGGCTGTCCGGCTGTTGACCGCCAGGCCTAGCTTCGACGGGACCTCGGCTCTCAGAGTGGCAGGGCTTTAGGGTTTAGGATGGACAGAATCCTTGGTCCTTGGAATACTTTCAAGATCGGAAACTGTATAAGGGGCTAGATTTCAGTGCCGAATGCAGGGCTGGCAACTGCCTTGAAAGGGGTTGCCGTCTTCCTCATGAATAGTATTGGCAAAACTTTGCAGAGAAGGGCGCATTTTCCTGCAAATGTCAGCGCAAAGCTGTAACATGGTTCTTCCCCCAATCCCTCAGCCCAAAGCCCTGTGAGACCCCTGAACCTTAAACGCCCATTGCCTCTGAGTCCGAGGGAGGAAGAGATCTACAACACGATGTCTCGGAGGTTCAGGGGTTTCGGGGTTTGAGGTTCAGGGGCTTCGAGGGTTTAGGGGCAAAACTTGAGGGCGCAGGTGACCTGCGTAGGTGACTAGATAAGCTTTCCCTGCATGTGCAGGACCCCATGTTGGAATGTTGGTGGAACCCCCTCCGGTGACGATATGTAACAAGTACGGACTGACGACATGTGCACACCGCCGGAACGTGCCACGATGTGTGGAGCGGAGCACGACAGCCGTCGCCCGCACCATGGCGGTCGTTGGGCTGCCAAAGCAAGAGTCTGTGGGACGGCATGTTTGGTGAAGTTGGCCGTGTAGTCACAGAGATCCTGTTGCCCGGCATCTAGCATGCGGGTTCTCAGGAGCCATTTGTTATGGAGATTATCCAAAGCCAACAGCATCTAAACTCTCAAGCAAACCCAAAAGCTTCCACTGCACCGGCTGAAATGGACCAATGACCCTTGGCCCGTAGAGTTCAGGGTTCTGGTTGAGGGTTCCGGGTGCTAAAATCTCATCGCGAATCCTACCCTAGATCACGGAACCCGGCATCCTCAATCCTGATCTCTTGGGTGGCGCACCAAACACTGGCAAGGTCTCTTCTCCCGCCTGCAGCTGAAAAGAAGTTGCAAGGATGATTTCGCCATCAAGCGCTTAATTGACTGGACTCCGTTCCGAAAACGAAAGTCCTTGGCCCTAGACGTTCGGGGTGTTCTTGAAGGGGTCCGGTTTCAGAGTTTGGCAGGCTCAAGGCTTCGAGATTGAAGCCTTTGGCTGGCCGGTCTCGTGTGCATAAAACCCAAGGGTGTTCGGCACTAAAGTTCAGAAGGTTCGAAAAGAAAGGAAAAATCAATCGCATTTATATGACGTTATGACGTTGGACGACGGCTGTCGCTGCTGCTTCTACTTCTGCTGGTACTACTGCTGCCGCTGACTGCTACGGCTGTAACGACGATGACATCGGCTACTAGTACTAGTACTACCAATCCTGCTAGTCCTAGTAGTACTACTAGCACTACCAGTACCACAAGTACTACTAGTACTACTCGTACTACTGGTACTACTAGTACTACCAGTACTGTTAGTAATACTTATCCTACTAGTACTGCTGGTACTACTGGTGCTTCTAGTACTCCTAGTGCTACTCATACAACTAATACTTCTAGCAATACTAGCACTGCTAGCATTACTAGTACTCTTAGCATTACAATACTACTACTACTACTACTACTACTACTACTACTACTACTATTGGTTACACCTAGTAGTATTAGTACCACTCGTGCCATTAATACAACGAGTATTGCTAGTACTGCTAGTATTGCTAGTACTACTAGTACAACTGGTACTACTAGTACTACAAATACTAGTAGTACCACTACTAGTATTACCAATATTTCTTATACTACTCGTACGACTAATAAAAGCAGTACTACATACGCCGAGTTTAACTCATGCACAAAGCAGCAAACCTAGACTCCTTAAGTTTTCAACCCAACACTTTAATTCAACCTTCAACGTTCTCTAGCCCCCAAACCCCACACACCAAAACCCTGCCATACATCCGACCACCTCCAACAAGCAAACTCAAATCACCCCCAATGTGCGATACGCGGCTTCCCATCTTACAGTCCCAAGCCTTACCCCTACTTGGCCCTGCTCTCGAATCGGCCTCTTGACATCCCGCGTTGCGGCTTGGGGTTAAATTTGGGGACGTTGGGTAAAGCCTTAAACCCCTTGGCACAAGCCTTCATGACCGTGGCCACAAACGGACCTGGGAGTGAAATGCCAAGCAGCTGTGAAGGAGAACAACACGTAGTTCAGTGGTTCTAGATCTTGGGATTTCGGGATTAAGGGTGTGCAGGGCTTAGGTTTAGGGCTTGAGGCACGCACAATGGAGGCCTGACAGGAAGGACACGAAGTGTGTGCAAGGAGCACGGCCAAGAGCCGGAATCAAACTGATTGCTGTCACGCTTTTCAACTGTATCCAGGGGCAGTGTTTGCGCAGTTTTGCAAAGGCCCTACGCCATAGACCAATTTCAAATCCCAAAACCTGGCACCCAAAACCCTGTTGCCACTCGGGCCTCCACGGGCATGCAAAGGCGGCTGGTTGGCGGGCTCTGTGCCTCCATGGGCCAAACCATCCACGTAGGTCTGACGGTTTCTGTATATGTAGCAGGTGGAGAGCTTGTATTGAGCGTGTGCATATGTCCTTGTGTGTTGGTGCGCCACTGTGTGAAATCAAGATCCATTGAAACGAGACTCCCTTGACTTCACATTTGACAACCGGCAATTCGTCGTAGCGTCTGTTTTCTCTCGGTATACTCAACCTGGCCGATAAAGCTGACAATGTGGTGGGCAGCAGACGCAACTGCGTTTGCACACCTGGAACGGCACGCAAATTGCTGCTATGTGCTTCGCATCACCCTCAACCTCGATGTCAATCAACTCCGGCTATGAATCTTCACGTGCTCCTTCAACGCAGCCTCAATCGTTGATGTCGATGCCGCCGATGACGTCTATGTAGCCCAAGCCATCCATTCAACTTCAGTACCATGGAAGACAAATCTCGCAGTCTTTGCTGTGATCGAGTTTGAGGACCTGTTATTGCATGACAAGACGGGCCTCTTCAGATCTTGGGCAACACGGGTACTCGTGACGATGACGATAAAGAACGCAAGTTTGACCTCAACCGCCGTCTGAAGGCGGTCATGCTGAATTGTAGGTCAATATGCACTTCATCAACATGCCATTCATGTCAGTCATATGTCAGTCTTATGCTTGTGGAGACAGCGCGACCACTTCCATGTAGGGGAGTCGGGACAACGCTGACATACAACCCATGTCCACACAAATCAATCAGCAACAGTGGAGGCTTTCACGCCTCAGATGCCGCAAGTGGAGCCTCTCAAGCCTCAGTTTGCCCAAGTAGAGCCTCCCAAGCCTCAGTTTGTAGGTGCGGAGCATCGCAATTTAAGCCTCAGCTTGCAGCAGCAGATGCGGAGCATCGCAATTAGGCCTCAGCTTGCAGCACCAGCGTCAATAGAGTATCTCAAGCTTCAGTGTCTGGCACACCTCAATTTGCAGACGTCAACCTTTCAACTTAAGTTCGTAGACATGAAGCCGTTCGAGATTCAGGTTGCAGAAGTGATGCCTCCCAGCTCTAATTCATGCCTCAGTTTGCAGACGTGGAGCGTCCCAAGCCTCATGTTGTAAAAGTGGAGAATTACAAGCCTCCATTCACACAGCTGGAGGTTCCCAAGCCTCAAATTGCAGATGTGCCGCATTTTAAACCTCATTTTGCAGAAGTAGAGTCTTCCAAGCGTCAGTTTGCGCAAACGGAGCCTCCCAAGCCTCAATTTGTAGATGTGGAATTTCTCAACCCTCAGCATGTCGGCGTGGAGCCTCTCAAACCTCAGGTGACAGAAGTGAGGCTGCGTAACCTTCTTTTTGCATAAGTGGAACCTCACAAGCCTCAGTTAAAATTTGCAGATGTGGAGTCTGTTTGTCTGCAGGAACGGAGCGGAAGTATGCTCGAAAGATACCTGCGAAATAGTGCAAAAATCCGAGAAAAGTGCTGAGTACAAGCAGGACAAGATTGAGACGCAAGTCGGGTAATATCAAAAAGATTAAAAGGAAACTATAAGAAGATGATACCATCTTGCTAACCCAGGTATGATTCCGTTCATACCGTATGGGTCAAGCCAAGTGTGTACTTCGGCGGCATATCTGCTGCGCAGCTGTCGACCGTAAATATGCAATGATATGGGCGGGCTGGCGCCTCAGACTTGCGAACTCCCACTCATGCATGCAGCACGAAAACCAGGGGCACGCATCTCCAATCGTTTTGATCTTTTTGCACGTGTGTTCATCACCCCTTTCTTTTCACCGTCCTGTCTCTCGAAATACTCCTCACCTCATGCATGCACCACAAAATCCAGGAACACATGAGCCTCATGAGCCAGATAACAAATGCAGGAACGCGTGTAGCTGTTTCTGTGAATTGCGTAGGTCGGAGTGCGCTGGCGCCCATGTTGGAATGTGCAGATCGGAGTGCGCTGGTTGCCAACGTTGGAATGCGTAGGTCGGAGCGCTCTGTGTCGCCAATGTTGGAATGCGTGGGTCGGAGTGCACTGTGTTACCCATGCCGCTGGAATGGTTGCATACCAATGTTGGAATGCGTAGGTCGAAGTGCGCTGTGTCAGCAATTATAGTTGGAATCCGTAGGCCGGACTGCGATGTTTTGCCATCCCGTTTTGCCAATGTTGGAATGCGTAGACTGAATTCAAGTGAACACTATTGCCCATGTTGGACTTGAACTTCCAACCCTTAATTTTCCAGGGCCAACTATATGTGCGTGACACCCTGTCACCAAGGGAAAAGGAATACAGAAGGGGGCCAGCGGAGAGGCAGGTACGACGTGCGCTGGCCAACGAAGACCGCGCACTCATTTACCTGTCCTCTCGTGTAAACGTACCTGCGAAATGGTGTAAAGATCCGAAAAAGTGCTGGGTACAAGCCGGACAAGATCGAAAAGCAACTCGAACAAGATCAAAAAGATGAAAAGGAAGAGATGAGAAGATGATTCTAGCTTGTTTCGATCATACCGCATGGGTCAACCCAAGTGGTGCCCTATACCCAGCTTCGAAACGCTAAGTAAAAGAAACAGCAAAGGTCAAGAGTGCAAACTCAGCAAGTATCAGTCAGCTCCTAGCCGCACTAACAAACGTATGGAGCTAGAGAAGAAGGCGTCATGGACGAGCGACTCTGTACCTGCAAAAGGTAATGGTGTGAAATAGACGTTGAATCGTAGCTTGGGCACCCGCATCTGATTTCAATTCTTCCGAAAAAGCCCAGGTCTTCAGACAGTGTTTGAGAGCACTGGATTCAGCATGCCATTCAGTTATGCAGACCTTGTTTGTGCGGTGTAGCTACATGTCAATCCATTCAGGCTTCTGTGTACGTTGAAGCTACATGCCAATTCAATCACGAAGAGATAGCTAAGAACATGCAGCAAATCAGAAATGCGGCCAGAGCAAGAGAGCCGCATCACCGGCGACGTTACAGAATCTCCAGTGTGTGTCTGTGCACATGTGCGCGTCTGTGGGCGTGGGTGTGCAGGTGCGCATGTATGCGTGTATGTGTATACAAGCATTGAGTAGCATTGAGTAGAAGTAGAAGTATGTATGTATGTATATATATATATACATATAAATATATATATATATATATGTATGTATATATATATATATGTATATTATTATATATACATACGTGTATGTATGTATGTATGTATGTATGTATGTATGTATGTATGTATGCATGTATGTATGTATGTATGTATATATATATATGATCCCGGTTCGGCCGGCCCCCCCCCCCTCCCCCCCCCAATGGTTCCTCCTCCCCCTCCCTGTGGTGTGGGGTGGTTGTGGGTTGCTTCCCCCTCCCTGCTGTGGTGGTGTCTTGTGGTTGGGGAG